TATATTTTTGAATTGTCTCTTTCATTTCTATAATGATTATCCTCCTTATCCCTAAAATGCTTTTTGTTTTAAGATCAGTTTTGCTTACATGTATATACACACACACACACACACACACACACACACACATATGTGGGACTGGTGTTTGAACTCAGGACTTTGAGTTTGCAAAGCAGGTGCTTTACTGCTTCAGTCAGTCCATTTTGCGCTGGTTATTTTGGAGATGGGATCTCTTGAACTATGGCTGGCCTTCAACCACCATCCTCCCGACTAGATCTTTTTTTTTTAAGTATTTACCTCATGCATATTTTCAATTTTTTAATGGATTTTAAACACTGTATGTTTCTTGCAAATAATGGATAGTTGCAATTTGCTTTGTTTTGGGTTTTTCTCCAATTCGAGATTTTGTGCCTTTTAAGTGGAAAGTTTTGGTATTTACATTTTCCCCAATCACTACTATGTTTGGAATTATCTCTACCATCTTTTTTTGTTTTTGGCAGTACTGGGGTTTGAACTTATGGCCTCATGCTTACTAAGCAGGCTCCCACCTTCTTTTGTATTTGCTATTTGCCACATATTTTCCTTGCTTATTTCTGGCTTCAATTAAGTTTTCTATAAACTTTATGTACAAATATCATATTTACATAAAACAAATTACATATCACATCATCTATATATGTAATATTCATATACATGAAGTTTTTTCTTCTTTTTTCAATGTGAATTTTTATTTATTTATTTTTCAGTACTGGGGTTTGAAATCAGGGCCTACACCTTGAGCCACTCTACCAGCCATTTTTTGTGAAGGTTTTTTGCAAGATAGGGTCTTGCTAACTATTTGCGTGGGCTGGCTTTAAACTGAGATCTTCCTGATCTCTGTCTCCTGAGTAGCTAGGATTACAGGCGTGAGCCACCAATGTGAATTTTTAGATTGATAATTTAAAATAAAGTTTTAAGTTAACATCTCTACAATCACAAACAATAAGGACTTTAAGAGTACCATAATTCTGATCACTCATAGTTTTTTCTTTTTATATAGAATGATTTTTTTATCATATGTTAAATTGATATAGTAAAGAATCTTTATCATGACATTTCCATACATGCATACGATGTACTTTGATAGTACTCAAATTACTTTTTGTCCCCCTTGTCCTTCCCTCTTTTCCCTTCCCCTTCTACCTCTCTAGTAGGCCCTTTTTTACTTTCATGAGCTTGACTTTTTTTGGTTTTGTTTTGCTTTCCCACTCACTCTCATCTTAACATGGTATTCTCTCCCTGTACGTTAGTTTTATGTTGCTTTCATACGCTTCAAATTTGTTCAGACACAGCTAGATCCACGTGCTCAAATGACTAAAATACTACAACAGGAATTCCCCAAAGCAATAGGACAAACAAGAGAGATGTATATTTCTTTCTCACATCATGGTCCAGAAGTAAACAGGTGGTCCAAGCTACTAGGTAGTGCTGGCCCATGGGGTAACCATGACATGACAGCTTTCTTCTTTCTTGCTTGCTTCTTTTTTTCTTTCATTCTTTCTCTTTTCTTTTTTTTTTTTTTTTGCTGTCTGGGGTTTGAACTCAGGACTTTGCAATCATTCCACCACTTGAACCAAAACCCCCAGCCCTTTTTGCTTTAGGTTATTTTTCAGATAAAGCAGGCTATTTCTCCTGCTTTCGTTCAGGTCAGCCTCAGATCTCAAAACCTCTACCTATGCCTACCACCAAGTAGCTGGGATTCAAGGTGTACAACACCACACCTGGCCCCTGTATTGCTTTTCTATCCTTCCCTCCCCAGGGTTAAATCCTGACCAGGATTTAGTTCCACCGGGCACTATTCTAAAGTCTGGGATTTCTTCTAACTGGTCCAGTGTGGATCACATGCCTTCACTAAACTAGTTGCTTTAGTCATTAAGATACAGTCCCCTGCTAAAAAGGTATGAATCGTCTGGCCAGTCCTAGTGGGGTAGGATTAACCTCTCCCAAACCACATGACCTGAAGTAGGAGAGAAGTGGCCCTCAAAAATAAAATAATGAGATGCTGTTACCACCAGGATGGAGGCTGAACAGGAACACAACAGATAACCATTGAACTTGTCTATGCCATAGGGCCATTGGATGGTCTGAGGAGGTTATACAACCTACTGTGTTTTAAAATCCCAGTCAAGCATGAACGATGATGCTGATGGTGGAGTTGCCTACAACACTTCTATCTGCGCCTCTCCTGCTCATTAGTCATTCATTTAGCACCTGTGTTCACCTCTGTTATGCTGACCATAGAGTTTTTAAATTATTTTCCTATGTGTCTGTCCCCTAGTTCTCCCAATTGTGGTTCAAGGCCACCTCCAATTGAGCACTCCTTCAGAGCTAAGAATCCACTTGTGTCCCATAGTGCCCAAGGCACAGAGTAGGCATCAGGAGACCAGACATGCAAAATGAAAGAAGGCTCAGTGACTCTCAAACTAGATATTCCACACACACACACACACACCCCGGCTTCAATTTTCAGTCCTTTTTTGCCTTTGGAAATCATTATTAGAAAGACTTCAGCCAAATCTAGAGATTTCTGCAGGTTGAAGGGAGGAAGGAAGTGTCAGGCCAAATTAGGTTGCTTATAGAAATGTATCTCCTAGTGATTAAAAAACAGTGGTGGAATTCAAATTAAATTACTAAGAGGCAAAGACCTGAGTAGGTGGGAGTTCAGCAGATAATTGACTACTCAGCGCTGTCTTCTCATCCTGTTTGATTCTAAGATTTGTTTTTAAAGGCGGTGTTTTGCAATCAGATCCTAATCTAAACACATATATGACTTTCTCCCTATGACCTGCCCCAGCTTTAGTGAAAACTGCCTGTATGGGATGGGAAAGGAGCTAAAAGCCAGGTGATGTTGATAAGGATAAGGGTACTCAATGGAGGAGAGTGCAGTCTTGAATGGAGAGACATCAAGGAGAGTTCAAATGATACTTGGAGAGCCAGCCATGGTGGCTCAAGCTTGTAATCCTAGTTTCTGGGGTGACAGAGATAGGAAGGATCACCGTTTGAAGTCATCCCAGACAAAAGTTCTCCAGACCCCATCTCAACCAATGGTTGGATGCAGTGGCCTGGGCCTGTCATCTCAGCTATGTGGGGAAGCAGAAATCAGAGGTTCCATGGTCCAGGCCAGCTGGGCATAAAGCAAAACGCTATCTCAAAATTAACCAATAGCAAAAAGTGGTGGAGGTCCTGCTTAGCAAGTACAAAGCCCTGAGTTTGAACCTCAGTACTGAGAGAGAGGGAAAAAAAAAAAGGTAAGTGGAAGAGCAAGAAGTCTCTGAGAAGCTCCATTTATAGGTCTTCTGAATACTAACAGCTGCCATTGATCTTGCTGTTGCTGTATGTCAGATATCATGATAAGTACATTTAGTTCATCTCGTTTCTGTTTTCAGAACAATACTGCAAGTTCAGAACTGATACCTCCATTCATAGATGATATGAAAGGTCAGAAAGTTGTCATGATTTGGCCATGGCTATACAGCAAGGACTACAAAAGCCAGGATTTGAACCTCTGCAGATTTGATTTGATTTCTGCTCTGAGTCCTTAACTGTCCTCATAAGCCACTCTGAAGCAACTTTTATTTTCTCCATTCTACAGAGGGAGATTAAAGTCCAGGGATGACCCAAGTGACAAAGATAGTGTCAGAGCCAAACTAGGTCCAACAGATTCCAAAATCTATTCTGCCTTCAAGATAGAAGAGGAAAGAAGAACATGCCAGAAAACTTCTACAGGTCAGGCCCTACCCTTATCTAGGGAACCCTCCCCCACTCACCCTTTAACCTCCTCCCTCCTTAAAATTCCTTTCCAGAATCTTCTTTTCACTGTCTCTTCCCCAGGGTAGCCTCTGAACTGAGGAGGAGGCAGGGAGCTCTTGGGAGGGTCTAAAACACCAGCTTCGCAAGGATCCCCTAGGAAAGGAATAGCCAGGACACCACCAGCTCTGGGTTTCCCATTCCCACACATCTGAGAAAGGCCTGTTCATAAGATTGGCAAGTGCTCGGACCAGACGTTGGTCTTCTAACCAATAACAGCAGTTCCCTTTTTAAAAACATCTATTCTGGGACAGACATTTCACTAGGGGGTTTCCTCCGTAATTTTTTAATTTAATATCCCCCCTCCTCCAACGATTGGCCCGATTTTACAAAAGAGGAGCCTCAGACTCCCAAAGGTGAAGCGACCAGCCCAAGGACAGCAAGTCGTCAGGAGCTTGGGATTTGAGCCCACCAAGGTCCCAGATCTGCTGTTGCCCAGGAGCAGAGGAGGGCGGAGCTGCCAGAGCTGCGGGAGGAGGGGACACAGAGAGGGCAAGCTCCCAGCAGCACGCGCTGACGACAGCAGGTGATTTTTTTCTGCAGCGCGCTTTCTCTCAGCATCTTTCCTGGATTTTTCCCCCTCTTGCTGAGCGGCAGAAAAGGGTGGGGCCGTCTCTCTGCAGCAGCAGCAGCAGCATCGGAGGCAGCGGCGGAGGCTGCAGTGCCCAGTCTCCACTGGAGGTGACCACCTCCAAGCCCTGCTCGGTGGCCGGCTGCGACCAGAGGCCGGAGGAAAGGAGAATCGAGCCAGTCGGCAGATCCTACCCAGCCCTTCCACTGCGCCATGGCTTAAACCCGCAGCCACCTTGCTTTGAGTCGCCTCGTTCCACCTGGGTCTGCGCTCCGCCGCAGCAGCCGCAGGGAGGGGCGCGACACAGACGCCCTAGGCCGGGGACTCCAGGACGCAGAGCCTCTCATCCTTTCATGCCCTCAGCAGCTGCGCTCCTGAAGGCGTTTGCAGCCGGTAATCGAGGGACTTCACAGTCCCAATCTCTGCGACAGCTCTCTCTGGGTGCTCCCTGAGGGAGGAGGGCGATAGGGGGAGAAAGCGGTGGGAACCACATTGGTGGGTTGGGGCCGTGGGCTAAAGGAAGAAGAGAGACTTGTTTTAGAACCACAAAAAGAAAGAGCGGGGCAGCTTTGCATCTAGCATCATGGCGTGGCCGTGCATCACACGGGCCTGCTGCATCGCCCGTTTCTGGAACCAGCTGGACAAGGCGGACATCGCCGTGCCGCTGGTTTTCACCAAGTACTCGGAGGCCACCGAGCACCCGGGCGCCCCACCGCAGCCGCCACTGGCACAACAGCAGCCGGCGCTCGCGCCCCCCTCCGCGCGCGCGGTCGCCATAGAGACGCAGCCGGCCCAGGGCGAGTTGGATGCAGTTGCCCGGGCAACAGGGCCGGCGCCCGGGCCTAGCGGCCAACGCGAGGGTGCGGCTGCGCCAGGCCGTAGTGGGCCTGGCCCGGGCGCGGGCTCAGGCTCCACCTCCAGCGCAGGCCCGGCGGACTCGGTGATGCGACAGGACTATCGAGCCTGGAAGGTGCAGCGGCCCGAGCCTAGCTGCCGGCCGCGCAGTGAGTACCAGCCATCCGAGCGGTGTCCTGGCGGCTGGAAAGGCTTCCGGCGCTGACGAGCGCGATACGCGCAGGAAGGCCGGGCCCGCCTGGATGATGCGTCGCTCTGAAGGGTACGAGCACTCGCCGCTTCCCGCCGCCCAGGCCCAGGCCGAAGAGGGTGGCCCAGCGGCTGGAAAGGCTTCCGGTGCGGATGAGCGCGACACCCGCAGGAAGGCCGGGCCCGCCTGGATGGTGCGCCGCACAGAAGGGCACGACCAGACGCCTGTGCCGCGCCCAGGCCCAGGCCGAAGAGGGTGGCCCAGCGGCTGGAAAGGCTTCCGGTGCGGATGAGCGCGACACGCGCAGGAAGGCCGGGCCCGCCTGGATGGTGCGCCGCACAGAAGGGCACGACCAGACGTCTGTGCCCGCCATCCAGGCCCAGGCCGAAGAGGGTGGCCCGGCAGCTGGGAAGGCATCGGGGGCGGATGAGCGCGACACGCGCAGGAAGGCCGGGCCCGCCTGGATGGTGCGCCGCACAGAAGGGCACGACCAGACGCCTGTGCCCGCCATCCAGGCCCAGGCCGAAGAGGGTGGCCCCGCAGCTGGGAAGGCATCGGGGGCGGATGAGCGCGACACCCGCAGGAAGGCCGGGCCGGCTTGGATGGTGCGCCGCACAGAAGGGCACGACCAGACACCTGTGCCCGCCATCCAGGCCCAGGCCGAAGAGGGTGGCCCGGCAGCTGGGAAGGCATCGGGGGCGGATGAGCGCGATACCCGCAGGAAGGCCGGGCCCGCCTGGATGGTGCGCCGCACAGAAGGGCACGACCAGACCCAGGCCACAGGCCCCGAAGGTGGCAAGGGGCGCGCAGTAGCGGATGCCCTCAACCGGCAAATCCGTGAGGAGGTAACAAGTGCAGTGAGCAGCTCCTACAGGTGAGAAGCAGGCAGCGGGACGCGGTGAGGTTGGTCACCCTTTTCGTCTTCGGAGGATTGCCCAGGGCTCATTCTCACCATCACAGGGCTTACATTCGGGGTCCTTTTGCTTACCAGACCACACCCTTCTCTAGTCGCATCCCAGGCACCTTCCCTTCGCAAACTTCTTTTCCCTGTCCTGTGGGAAAGCTGTCGTATTGTCCATCTCAGCCTTCCCAGCCCTTTCTCTTTACAACTTTAGCCACTTCCCTCCCCGCCCCCTCCGCCCCCCCCACCCTGTCCCCCAGTTCGGATCTCTGTCTGCCCAACAGAGATTCTGCTAGTTTCTCAATGCCCCACCCAAATTCGCCTGTTGCTTTAGCCTGGATGCTGCCCCCTAGTTGGCTCCCCTGTCACCCACCCACCTTAGGGTCCTCATCCTTCTAAAACAAATTTTCCTCTCCTTGCTAGCCCACTTCACTTGGCCTTTCATTCTTCCTCCTCTCAGTCCTTGAACCACACCCTTTTCTAGATTCTCCACAGGATCTTTACAAATCACCTTCCTCCTCTATCACTTGTATTTTGGGGCAATTTTCCACTTGCTTCTTACTAGCTGTGAACACATTGGGCAAGTTTCTTAATCTTTCGAGGCCTCAGATTTTTACTTCTAAGATGTAATTGGTAATAGATTCCTTTTAGGATTATTCACACATTTATTGATACAAATTATTAGCATATTTTTGAATGTCTGTTATATACCAAGCACTGTGCTAGGCTTTGTGAATATTAAGGGAGATGATTCCGGAAGACTGTTCATGACCTGCAACTGTGGTAATTAGGTTTGTTTCCATTCCTGCTTTCCACAGATGCTTCATTATTCTGATTTCTACTTCCTAGATACCTCCAGCCATCGCTCCTAATTGAGGCATCTCCTTTCCCTTTGTGTGTTCAGATGTGGTTCTTACTCTGTCGCCAACAAGAACTCCCTCTTTAGCATGTTCACATTCCTTATAAATGAATTCTTTCATGCATGGAAACACCCACCAACATCCCCCACCGCCTTCTAGAATTCTCCCTGTGCTGTAGCCTTGGTCCTTCCAGTCTGCTTTCTCACCTTTCATCCATGCAATATATATTTCTGAATGTTTCGTTCTCAGTCCTGCCTTTGTGTTTCAACCAACATTAATTAACAGATCCCAGTTGACTCTGAAATGTAATTCTGGGTTTAGGGTCTCTGAGGAAGCAGACATGCATGATGAGCAATGAGCTAGAAATATTCAAAATATGGTTTATGAGGTCCTTCATCACTGCCACAGCCAGTTAGTTGCCTCCTTCCTGCAAGAGGGTATGATGGGAGGACTGCAGAATTCGTGTCCTCTGCCAAGACCCCGTATGTGGCCTTGGGTCAGACTGATGTCATCCAACGAATATGACACATACTCCCTATTGTGCTGCAGAAAGTCTAGCACATGTCAACATCTTCTCTTAAGACAAAATATGACCCCTCCCTCACTGCCCCAGGGATTCATGTCTTCCTGAATCCCACTTGCTGTCTCCCTCAGTTTATTGCTATTTCAACCTCACTGGCCTCCCAGCAGTAGAGCATCACTTCCTTTTAAAACTCTGGGTCAAGCAAAAGCACATCCTTTTCCTTGGTTAGCCACAGGGAGGTGGGATTTTCACAATATTTTTTATGCTGTAACTAAGGGAGGATCAAAAGAAAAGAGCGGACACAAACAAGCAAGGAGTATTTAAAAAATGAAACTAAGACATAGTTTTCTGATTCTGTCATGGCTTTCTTGTGTGCAAGGCCCTACATCATTCTCTGAGAAGCCTAAGGCTGGCCCACCATCACAGATTCCTGGCGTGGCTGCTTCATTATCCTACTCTTCTTCTATTACCCCTGTGGCAAGTGGAACCTTCCCACCCACCAGGCAGGAGCTATGTTTTCTCACCTGTTTACAGTCAGTGCCAATCCAGAGAGTCCAGGCTTTCATACCTAACTGGAAGGACTTGCTTTGCTCATGGATGATTGGCCACACAGTCAGGGAATGATCACACCTGTCAGACTCAACTCACTCCAAATTTTGGTTTGTACCTTTAAAGCTTTTTTCCCAAAACAAAACATTCACTGTGCAGTTAGCATGTCATGCTTCACAGTTGGAATCACACACACGTACTGGAAAGGGTAGACTGGGTTGGGAAAAGCAAGCCTCTTGTAGCTGGTAAGAATTTTTTTTTTTTTTTTTTAGCAGCTATCAGAATTCTAGCAACCTGTCAAGAAAACTCTTTGAACATCTCAAACTGTTTTTAAATTCAGATCTTCTGTAAAACATAATTATACATAAGACTTTGGGGCCATCAGTACCATTTTGTGTATAATCAAAAGCCTTTCAAAACATAATAAGCAAATGAGTGTTGCTAAGAGACATAAATTTCTTTAATGAATAATTTGAATGCATGACAAATTTGATGTGAAATTTAACTTAATTTTTGTTACAGAAAAAAATTAACCAATAATAGGGAAATGGATGAAAGTAGACATGAAGAAATAAGATAGTCAATAAATTAAACACACTGTAGAGAAAAAAATGCTTGGAAATTATAGAGATTTCTGGAACATTGATTTCTCCTCCCTGTTGTCTGATATGTTTTCCTTGCTGTGATTCTGGCTATCTCCTGAAATTAAGTATGCGCAATGCCTACTGTAGATGGTCCTTACATCACTGTAGAAACCAAGTAAGGGTTCATTTCAATGATAATTTGATTTACAAAACCTTTTTTTCTGCCGCTCTACATAAATTACGGTGTATGTACACCATGGTGTCTGGTTCCTCTCAAGGGCTTGGAAGTGGTATCCCTCACATGACATCATTGTGAACAATTTGCTTGAATAAAGAAAGGACACATAATCTGTCAGCTTAATATGTTGGTGTGTAATGTTAAATATACATTTGACGTTCAGAAGCATATGTATGCTAATATAGTCAGTAAATACCATTAGATATCCTTTGACACTAGGGTTTTGAGAAATAGTCTTTATTCAACAGTTCATCTGATCCATAACCCATTCATACTAGTTTGGGATTTTTGCATTCAAGTGATATCTGAGATGTCTTTGGAATTATTCACAATCACGAGGTTGATTAATTTAATACATTCATTTTACAAAGATGATATTCTAAAATTGAGAAGCATGTCTTTATTACTATTTTTCATGTTAAGAATGGATTTCACTGGGAAGCCATTTGTGACTTTAGACCTGGGTGCTCTCAGTTAGAAAATAGATGAGTCACCAGGAGGAGATTAAAATTCCCTTCCCAGTCAGCCCCATTGCCCTGGTCATCAGTTAATAGGGATAGATGGGGTAGCAGGTGCTCCCTATAGAAATGCTAATGAGAAACTTCTAGAAGAAATCAGCGGAGGCACCGGGAGGTAGAATTAATAAACCAAAGGGAAAATGCTTGAAAAATGAGAGCAATAACAAGGATGTCAGACAGAAAAAAGAGCCTTTGATGTCTGCCCTCCAGCCTTGCATGAAGGTGAGAGAAAGGGCCTTCTGACTTAGCTTCTGTTGGGAGAACTGCCCTCAGCCACAACCCTCCGTTTCCTTAACTTCATCCTGCCTAAGTCCCAGCAACACCTCAAAGCCAATCTTCCGGGACACCTTCCTGGGTCCTGCCGTTCAGAATTAATTTGCCATTCAGAATTAATTTTTTAATTCCCATTTTATTGACTGAATCCTTTTCGCTGTGTTCCTGCTTACTGTGTGTCAAATACTTTTGCTGTATCTGCCTCTCACCTCTCTTCCCGATCATGAACACATGGAGAAAGGGGCTGGGTTTTGTCCATTTCTGTGTGTCTCACAGTCTAACCTTGGGCCTCTGTGCTGTTTTAGAGTTGTTGATCCAATGGAATTTTTAGGACTTGGTGAAAATTTTATTTACCTACATATTGATTCATTTCCTTCAGTTTCATTTAGTTGAATTTATCTCAGAAAATGATCCTCGACCCTTGCTATGTACCAGCCAGGGTGCTGAATAAGTTGTAATTCTATCTGAGGAGGTTGTGTCTTAAAAATCTGGATAGAGTTCGACTCCTACCAGGTTACACCGGAAAGAAATGTTCATATGAGGAAGGCAAGCTTTCCAGGTGTGACTTTGAATGTACCTTCACCTAGGGCAGGGACCTCCACCTCCTGGCACATTGGAATTGCTTTTCAAATGTTGATGCACTAAGTGCCTTACCCAGAAAATCTGATGTAGTCAGTCTGGGGTGTGGCCAGGGCACCTGAATGTTCTAATGGGCAACCCAGGTTCCACAAAGCAAGGACCTCAAAATTGAGTACTCGAGCTGGGCACCAGTAGCTCATGCCTATTCCTAGCTATATGGGGAGGATCAAAGTCCAGATTGGCCTGCACAAAAAGCAAGACCCTGTCTCCAAAATCACCAAAGCAAAAAGAGCTGAAGGTGTGGCTTTAGGGATAGAGCGCCTGCCTCACAAGCTTGGACTGTCTCTGGAGATGATGTGTGTATGTGTAAGACCAATATAAAAAGGAAAAAGGATCACACACGAGGAACTGATTAGAACATCCAGGATAGTGTTTGAATAGCGTGTGATACCAGATGTGAGACTGCTTCTAAAATTTTATCATTAAGTCTGAGGAGATCAGGTTAAGAACCTTCTTAGAGTTTTTTTTTCTTTTCTTTCCTTTTTTTTTTGGTTCTGTTGTTGGGGGTTGAACTCAGAGCCTCCTGCTTGCTACGCAGTTGCTCTGTATCACTTGAGCTACTTCCCAGCCCTTTTTGTTTGTTTATTTTTGAGATAGGCTTGCCTGTACCATGACCCTCCTATTTGTGCTTTTGAGAGTAACTGGATGAGAAGCATGCACCACCACGCCCAGCCAGGAGTTTCTAAAAATGTAGAGGGGTGTTGAATTTTATTGAATGGTTTTTCTATATCAATTGAGATGATCTCGTGATTTTTGTTTTTTAATTATGTTACAGATTTCTTCCTGATA